AAACACGATGGAGAAAGGCTTTCTCTATACGCATCACTTGCATACATGCATATATATGCACTTAGATACACTTTGATATAAGCTTATATATGTAGATATATCGAATATGTTGTATAAACATATTCGTCGACTTAGATCTTAAGAATATCTTATATAAATATATTATATATATATATATATGTATATATATATATATATAAATTTTCTATAACCTAAAAACATACTCGAATTTTCAATCAAAATCTTTGATAAATTTCACATAATTAATTTAACATTAATATTAACATTTTATATTTTCCATAATACAAAATTCTATCGTAAACTCATTTTCATATAACGTATGTCCATATATACATATATATATATATATATACGTAAATATAATAATTATCATATTGTAAATACAAACGAAAGGATAGTAATTATAATTTATAATGGCATAAATATGGCACACTTGTAATTCGATAAAAAGAAAAAAAAACCTTTTGATGAAGTTCCACATAATTACTTTTAACGTTTGATATCATCCGTAATAATCGATTTACATTTTTTTTTCTACTCCCCATATATATACAATAGTTATCAAATTTCTATGTAATTATTATCATTTTATTTTTAGAGAAAATGAACGGGTATGATAATATTGAGATGACGAATAAAAAAATCTTATTTATCTTTTGATTATTCATTTTCTATATACATATCTATATACTTACATATATTTATTTACTTTTCGACAATAATTTTTCGAGAAATAGAGAAAGAGAGAGAGAGAGAGAGAGAGAGAGAGAGAGAGAGAGAGAGAGAGAGAGAAAGCCATTAAAAAACTTTTGACTCGTTCATCGAAAACATACGAAAATACATGAAAAAATTTTCTTTACATAAACATATAGATGCATATATACATATACAAATACATATATATTATTTGTCATATATGGCCAATTTAAATTCGTTTGTATAGTTAATGAAAGAGTAAAGAAACGACGATGATATTAATAGTAGTAATAGTAACAGTAGTAGTAGTAGTAGTAGTAGTAGTAGTAGTAGTTATATTAATATTAACAGTAGTAGTATTAATGGAAGAGTAGTCGTAGTAGTAGTAGTGATAGTAATAGCGATAGTTGTGAGAGTAATGTTTTACAAGCTCGAAAGACGAATAAATATTTATCTCTTGAAAATAGGAGAGCTGGTACGTAATAAGCGATCGGGAACATGCACGTACCTGGGTATTAAAGCGTATCTGATATACATACATATGTAATCCTCAGGTGTGTAAAATATGTATATAGGACGTAGATTTAATAATGTTAAACAGACAACGGATAAGAAAATTTATATTTACTAACGAGTAAGAAATAATAATCTAAGCTTCGTTTAATATCAACCAGATAATGATATCCTCTGATCCATATTTTCTTCTTTATATAAAATCTAATTTTCTAATTTTCCTCTCTTTTTATTTCTCTCTTTTTTTTTATTTTCTTTCCTCTCTCTCTCTTTTTGTTTCTTTTTTTTTTTTTTTGTTAAGCGTACAATTGAAAGCGACAATTCGCTTGAATTAATTATTCGTCATAAAGTAAGAAACAAATGGATTGATTATAAAATAGTAGAACACATTAAGAATGATTTATTGAATATTTACGATGAGAACGATCACAATAATAAAAAATAAATTCATTTCAATATTAATAACAATAATAATAATAATAATAATAATAATAATAATAATAATAATAATAATAATAATAATAATATCATCTAACAATATTTTCCTCTTTAAAGTCCATAATTCTTCTCTTTTATTTGTCATACAATTAAAAGATATAATTCGTGATTAATAATTTACGTCGTCGTTTCATTTTGTCGATAAAATAAAAAAAAAAAAAAAGAAAGAAAAAAAAATGAAAGAAGAATTTACAAATGTATCGATCGTAAAATTATAGAGAATCACGTAGAATAGTTCATCGGAATATTTTCGATGAAACGATAAACACGCATGCATGCATGCACGCATGCAATACACGCGTACACGCACACGCGTAATACAGATAAAAAAAAAAAAAAAAAGAGAGGAGATAAAGTAAAAGAACGATAGGATATTTCCAATGTCTTATATTTTCGCGTTATAAATCGCCTTTTAATTCTATTTATCCGTTTTTCACTTCGAATAGGAAGTATTTGGAGCGGAAACCATTCTTTAGCTCGCCGCCGAGAGACATACGACATAGACAATCGTACCAGTGCTTGTAAGGGTTTGCGTCTATGTTGGTACCAAGTGAAGGGTAGAAAAAGAAAAGGGGTAGAGAGGAAAGTTGAGAGAGAGAGAGAGAGAGAGAGAGAGAGGGAAAGAGAGAAAGAGAGAAAGAGAGGGAGATGGAAGAAAGATTCGGACAAAAGTTTCGTCATTCATTTTCTTATCTTGGCTTCTTCCATGGTAACTTCAATCGCGATTGAAACCTTAAATATCTAGAGCGTACAAAGGTGCATTTATAGAGGGGTGGATCAGAGGGGGGGGAGAAGGGAGGAGGGAGAGTAACCCCTCCTCTTGTTGTTTTAAATTATTCCCCGTTGCCAAGTTCATCTCTCTCTCTCTCTCTCTCTCTCTCTCTCTTTCTTTCTTTCTTTCTTTCTTTTCTTTTTTTTTTCTTTTTTCTTTTTCTCTCTTCCTCTCTTTCTTTCCTTCCTTTTCTTCTTCTTCTTCTTCTTCTTTTACTTCTTCTTTTAAACGTTTGAAAAGTTGAACAAACATTTCTTCCTCCGGCTATGTAGAAAATCTCTGTACGGTTCGTGAGATTCTCTCTTATTCTCATATTTTCTTCTTTCTACCCTTTATCAGTAAAGAAAGGAGAGAGAGAGAGAGAGAGAGAGAGAGAGAGAATGAGGGGAGAGGAGTTAGCTAGCTAGCTAGCTAGCTAACTACATCCAGTGAAATGCAAACAGCTTTCTTTAAAAGACCAACCGACCTTACCGGTGGTAGTTGATATCCAAAAATATTCTAAAAATAGTTAAGGTCATTGAATTTGAATACGAGAGTGTTTACGCTTGGAATAATATGACGTTTTGTCGAAAATCGACAACGAACACTTCGGGGATGACATTTTATATATATATATATATATATATATATATATATATATATGTATACGCGCACGTACATACACACACGCACACACGTATATACCGAAATGGTACAATGCATTTCGTTCTTGGAATAGTCGTGCAATCGCATTTCGATTATATCTCGAAACGTGCAACACAGAAAGGAAATATAGTACAACGTAGAAGGTATTAGTAGAATAGTATTGTATAGAACGATGAAATAGGTGAGCGCCACTATTACACGAAAGATTTATTCTCGTCTCTCGCAAAACTCTCGATGGGTACATTTGCAAGACGATGAAAGGTCGCTCACACCCCCTTCCCGCCTCCTCCTTCTACTCCTCCTTCTCTTCCCGCCAAACCCAAACCCCAACCTCAACCCCTCGTTCAGTTATGGGGTTGCCGCAGTAAATCCGTGTACCACCACCGTTCTCGCATCCAGATATCGAAATTTCCAGCCGTTTGAGAAATAAATCGAAATACCTTTACGTGAAATACCTTTTGGTCTATTGCTTCTTTTTTTTCTTTCTCTGTTTTCTTTTTTTTCTTTCTTTCTTTTTTTCTTTCTTTTTTTTCCTTTTCTCTCTCTCTCTCTCTCTCTCTCTCTCTTTCTCTCTCTCTCTCTCTCTCTCTTTCATATTTTTCTTTTTTCTTTCTTCGTTTTTTCCTCGAAGAAAGAGAGGTAAAATATTCGAACGGGGAAAAAGCCGAGCTATAAAAACTCCTTTGCTTTTTTTCCTCACTTTTTATATTCTCTTCTTACTTGCCAATACTATATTCGATATTTCTTGGATTATTTTTATCTTGTTTAGATGATAAAAAAAAAAAAAGTGAATCTAAACAGAAATCACAGGAGAAAAGAAAAGAAAAAAAAAAAATATATATATATATATATATGTATGTAGAGCCTTAAGGAGAAAAAAAATTACTTTTTTTTACTCAAAATTAAAAAAAAGAAAAAAAAAAGAAAAGAGAGAAGAAAAAAGTAGGATCATGGTAAAGATAATTAAAAGACTTTTCAAATGATACACCACAAATGATCCCCTCCGCCTCTCCCCCCTCCCTCCCCCATTCACCGTTTCCATCCAAGATTCTTGAGGTGGAATTTATCTTAGGATGTTGTGTTAGCTCGAAATGGATAAATTTGTGACAATTGACCTAGTCACCCTTAGGCAAAAAGCAAAATTGACCTGTCACAATATTATCCGAAAAAAGAATCACTAAATCTCATAATAATCCCGGTGAAACACAATTTTCATCTATCTCGTGCGATACTTTTTACTTATATATATATATATATATATATATATACATATATATATACACACACACACACATACGTACATACGTATACGTCAAAATACCTATAAATAGACAATAAAAAGAAATATATTTGAATGTTTATCGTTGGTCGAATCGTTCGAATTGGTGAGAAAGAATAGCCCTTGGCCATAATCGTATCCGACAAATTTCGTTGCTAGGAATGAGAGGGCGTGAGATAGGGTGAGGATGAGAGACAAGGGTAAAAAAGTGAACTAGCAAGAAAACGAGGAGTAGTATTACCAAATCCATCATTTCTCATCCTCTCTGCTCTTCCACCCCCCGAGCAACGACTTCGATCACGAACAGACATAAAGATCCTCGGTACTAGAGACCTTTTTCGGTGAGCACGTCGAACGAACTGACATGACGGACGAGCCATGGTCTTCATCCTCTCATTCTCGACGATTACTCCTTTCAATCTCTCTCTCTCTCTCTCTCTCTCTGTCTCTCTCTGTCTCTCTTTCTCTCTCTTTTCGGTCACTAGCCATTCCCAGGAAGCAATACGAATTTAAGCTTGGAAGAATAATATAGCTGTTTACTTCGATATCTCTCTCTGTCTCTCTTTCTGTTTGTAGAAGCCGAGAACGGTGGCGCCATCGGGCTTGATATCAATCATCCTGGAGGCAGGAACACGGAGGAGGATCATCGACACTTTCCGGATAACGAGAGAAGTACGAGGAATAACAACACAAACAACAACAACAATAATAATAATAATAATAATAATAATAATAATAATAATAATAATAATAATAATAATAATAATAATAATAATAATAATAATAATAACAACAACAACAACAGCAACAACAACAGCGGCAGCAGCAACAATAACAACAACAATAACAATAATAATAGTAGCAGTAGCAGCGGTAACAGTAACAATAAAAATAAAGAGGAAGTGAAGGAGGAGGAGGAGGTTTGGCACGTTGATAAGATCAACGTTAATTCTACGATAGATTTGTCTTATTCAAAGATAAAGAGAAAATCTGATGTTACGACGTTATTATCGGCATCGACGATGACGACAACTATGATAGAACGATCGAATAGAAATAATAATACTAATGAGAAAAGGACAATTGGAAAGGAAATAGATAGAATCGAGTTTCTCGATTACGAGGAAACAGAGCAACAATATCAGAGGGATCAAAGTAAAATGAAAATTGATCAAGGTATATCAAGGATTCAGGATGATCCTAAGGATGATTCAACGGTGACGATTGTTCCATCGAGATCCCATCAAAGGATATCGATCGATGTTACTACGTCCAGGGATTTCTCGATGTTAGCTGATAGTACGAGCCTATTCGAAAGCCAATTGGAAAACAGTGTTACAGTGAAGGCTACTTATTTGGAAGTACCTCAACAGGATCCCTCGACGAGTAGTAGGAGCAACAGTAATAGTAATAGTAATAGTAATAGCAATAGTAGTAGTAGTAGTAATAGTAGTAATATCATCAACATCAACATCAGTAACAATAACAACAACAGTGGCAAAATTGACGTCGAGTCATCGTCATCTTCTTCCTCCTCGTCCTTCTCTTCGAGTAACGTCAGATCGAACGATCTTCATCGATCTTCTCGATTAAAGTTACGATACGAGAACGAACACGATAAAAATATTGATCGTGGACATTATATATCATCCAGTATACGTTCGATCGATGATGATTCCCCGTCGCAATATCTTCGTTCTACCGAATCGATCGAGCTAAAGGATTTCAATGACATAAGAGCGATATCCTTTCAAGTACCAAAGCCAGAAATGTTTGAAGAGTTAAATGGCGATGAGAAGGAACGTGATAGTTCCTTAGAATCAATTGTTAAATCTGTTCGTAAGAATAATCATGATATCGATAATATCAAAATTGAGGATCCATTAAAAATGATACCGGAAACGAGAAAGGATCGTTCGAGATTAATGAACGAGTTATCCGGTAATGAGAAATCAACGAAAGCGTTTTACGAGATCAAACCATCGGTTAAAACCGAACTCGAAAGGAACAACGACGGTCATAATAATAATAATAATAATAACAATAATAATAATAATAATAATAATAATAATAATAATAATAATAATAGTAATAGTAATAGCAATAGTAATAGTCGTCGTCAATCGATTATTACTAGCACGCAAAAGACTTTGTTAGGTGGAAAATTTGTTTTGCCGAGCGTTGACAGTGCCATTGGAAAATTTGGACCGTACTTCGTCGATGGCGATCGAGAGATCAACGTAACTGCAAGAATTGGCAGCACCGTTGGCCTTGATTGCAAGATAGGCTTGCTTGGTGATAAAAAGGTAAGAATTATTAAAATAAATCTTTATTAACTTATTATAGAACGAACAAAAACTTTCTTTTTTATCTGTTAATTGCAGTCAGAATCCAAACGTTCTTTTTTTTCTTTTTTTTTTATTTTTTTTTTTTTTTTTATTTTTATTTTTTTTTTCTTTTCCTTTCCGCTATTACGTGAAATAAAATAATACGAGTATAATAACGATGATAACATTTTCATAACATTTTACACGATTTTTGATTGAAATGTGTATATTTCACTGGGTGAAAATATTTGATCGTTATTAGATGGATAAAAACGGAACTAAAAACAAAGGAGAAAGAAATAAAAAAGGAAGGAAAGAAAAAAAGAAAAAAGAAAAAAGAAAAAAGAAAAAAAAATAATCTAACGCTTAAATATCGAAAGCTTATTACCAAAAGTAAATCCATCAGCTAAGCTCTCCAATATCGGAGTTTATGTATACCATTTGCCGTTATCAGATTAAATGGTTCTACTGCGAATCGATCGAGGTACACGCGTTTTCGTTCTCTCTCTCTCTCTCTCTCTCTCTCTCTCTCTCTCTCTCTCTGTGATGCAAATCGCAAATCTACGTTGGATACGTGGATACGAACGTTTTCGGCTTCGATCGTGATTAGCCTTAATCGAAACGGGAAAGAACAACGGAACTAATCTACCGGGTTGCCCGTTTCCAGAATCTAACCACGAATACCGAATGATTTCATTCGTTAAACCGGTGTAAGAGGGAATGCGTAGTGGTTTGTACATAGAGAACGTTTATGTAATGAAAAAAAAAAAGAGAGAGAGAGAGAGAGAGAGAGGGATTGGTTAAAAAAAGAAAAAGATAAAAAAAGAAACAAATAAAGAAAAAGGAAGTAAAAAAAAAAATAATAATAATAATAATCAAACAACAAAGGAACGAGCTAGCGAAATGAGATTCTTTTCTTTTTTTTTTATTCCTTCATCCATTTATCTCTTTTTTGTTTTTTCTTTTTCCGTTTCCTTTTCTTTTTGCTTTTTATTTTATTTTTATTATTATTATTTTTTTTTTTTTTTTTTTTTTTTTTTTTTTTTTTTTTTAATATAAATTACAATGAAACAATCATTCACGTATTATCGTGAGAAAATCATTGGGCGTTAATAATAGAATAATTTTATGGATGAGCGAATTAAATGGGAAAGAGAGAAAAAGGAAATGATAATAATAATAATAATAATAAAATAGAAAAAAAAGGTAGAAGGGAGTGTAACTAAAATGAGTCAGAGAGAGAGAGAGAGAGAGAGAGATCATAATTGCAAACACTTTGTTAATCTTCTCTCCATTTCTTTTTCGTTTACTTTTTGCGGGTATATTTCTCTGGTGCACGTTTTGTCAGCAAGAAACTTTCCGCATTTCAATCGGTGCCTCTCTTCTCAGTGTCTCTTTTTCGAGTTTGAGAAACCCCACCCATATCGTTCTCTCTCTCTCTCTCTCTCTTTTCTGTTTGTCCCTCTTTCTCTTTCTCATAGATTTTCTCGTGGGCAAGAGGTAGAGTACGAAGTTGCTTGAAATTCCTCAGGGATTCATATTCTCCGGAATACGTAATGTGAAACCGATTGTGGCGTTCGGCCGTGCCAAGGAACGAAAACGAGTGCTTCCGATTCCACCTTGGATATCCATAATATATATAGATATAGATCTATAAATCTATATATATATATATATATATATATATATATATATATATATTGATACGTTTTAAGAATAGCAAACGACTCGAAACCGTCTTCGAGAACGACAAATTTTATTGCGAAACATCGCCTTTCAAAAATGGCCGATTGGTAGTAAAGAAAAATTAGTTTATCGTGTATACATATATATACATATATATATATATATATATATATATATATATTTTTTTTTTATTTTTATACAAAACATTTGTATCCTATTTGTAATGTGTGTTTGTATATATATATATATATATATATATATATATATATATATATATATATAGGATACAAGTGTTTAAGAATATATTAAGAATTAATTAAATATACAAATGATAAATGATACAAATAAGTTTTCTTATGGAGATGAAAAAAAAAATAAATTAAGAAATTTTGTAAATAATTTTTTTTTTTTTTGTATTCTATAAAAACCATTCGAAAATAAATTATCTTTGGAATAATAGGAATCAATGATTTAACGTACGATTATAATTGTGTAAATCTGAAAGAATGACGATTGATACTAACATTAATATCGAACAATTACTCTTAACGCTACTAATATATAACGTATTGATTAATAATACCAGCTGATAATATCAAACATTGACTAGTCGTATACTACTATATATATATATCAAATATTAACCCGTACTACCGACAATGTGAAGCATTGACTCGTACTATTGCTAATGTATAACACATTGAGTAATAACACTGATAATATCGAACATTGACTCATACTACTATATCAAATATTGACTCCTACTACTGCTAATACCGTATATACCTATATAACCTATTGACTCGTACTACTATTAATATAAAACATTGACTCGGTACTATTGATAATACTAAACATTGACTCTTACTACTGATAACATGAAACATTGACTCGTACTACTGCAAACTGTCAACATATTGACTCTTACTATTGACAATACGAAGTATTGACTTAGACTATTACTGAGATTTCATTCGTCAATGACTTATTAAAAAAGAAATAAATAAATCAATCAATAAATAAATGAAATAAAAATAAATAAATTAATAAAAAAAAAAAGAAAAAAAAAACTAGAGAGAGAGAGAGAGAGAGAGAGAGAGAGAGAAAGAGAAAAGTCCTTGAAATTGGCGATATGTATCACTCGACTAAATTCGAGTCTTGAAAGACGACAGAGTTAAATTCTCAAGGAAGTTGCTTGCTTACCTTATCCACCCTCGACCCCGTCCGCCCTTTCTCCAAAGAAGTGAAAACTTTGACCTCTCTCGCGTACACTCTCTCGTAGCACGAACGTCGAAGACTAATGTCGCGGCTGTGAACTAACTTTCGTAACTAACGGCTCCTTGGTCGTCCGTAGGAAACTCGACTTTTATTCGCGAACGTTTGATAAACTCGAAGTTTGAGAATTGAACCTGGATTGATGCTACCCGTGAGAAAGCATTCGTTCTTTTGTGCGTATATATGTATGTATGTATGTGTGTATGTGTGTATGTGTGTGTGTGTGTGTGTGTGTTTTATACGGATTTCCTCGTGTCTTTGCTTTATAGTAATAAACTATTAAAAAAAAAATAAATAAATAAATAAATAATATCAAAGTTCAAAGGTTACATTATATTTGTATTATTTTTCTTTTTCTTTTTCATCCTTTAATACAATTTTCTCTTTTGTTTCTTATCGTTAAAGCAAATCATTAGAACTTTCAATGATAGCTACGGACTATCTCATTTTATCTCGTTTGAATTAAACGCCAAATTCAAATTATTACCATCGAATCGAATCAAATCGTTTCCAATAAATTATTTCAATCTAATAAAGGATTAATCTGCTGCATCTTTTCTGATTGTTTGTTTATAGGTCACTTGGGTGCAACAAGACGAGGATTCCTTTCGACTTTTAACCGTTGGCAGGATCCCTTATAGCGTCGATCAAAGGATCAGCCTTCATTATCGGTAAATTCGATTATCTCGTAGTCATTTTAACTATACAAAAGAAAAAAAAAATATATATATATATATCTCGATCGTCCTAATCCTGATTACATTGATTCCTTCTTTTTCGTTCTTCCTTCTGAAAAGACAGAGAGAGAGAGAGAGAGAGAGAGAGAGAAAGAGAAAAAAAAATGAAAAATAAAAAGAAAAGAAAAAAAATAGATCCTCAGGAAAATGAAATTACCGAAAGAATTAAACGCAATTTTTATTATTATACATGACTTTTATATTTATTTTTCATTCTAAAACGCAAACGAGAAATTTATTCTTTCTCTCTCTCTCTCTCTCTCTCTCTCTTTCTATCCTATTTTGCCAAACGAAATAAACGATTTTATGTCCCATGAAAATCAAACGTCCTGGTAAGACGATTCTTTGCGAGACGACAACAGCATCGTCTCGTAATAAACGAACCACCACACAACGACAACCCCAACCCCCAATCTCTCCCTATCTTCTTGTGTCGTTTCTCTCTTTTTCTCTCTCTCTCTCTCTCTCTCCCTCTCTTTTTCACTTGACTGAAAAGGAAATGAAGTTTTCCTTTCTTTTGATCGTACCCAGGTACCCAAGTAACTGGAGATTGCAAATCCTGTATGCTTCGCCAAGGGACTCAGGACTGTACAAGTGTCAAGTGTCTACTCATCCACCTCTCGTGAAAAAAATTAATGTCATCGTCACAGGTAAGAAGAACAAAAATAATTTATTATGATTTAGCTGTCCTTCTTTTTTTTTTCAAACCTTCCAACCCCAGCCACTTTTCCCCCATTCCATCCTACTCCCTCTTCTCTTACTATTCTCTTACTACTGTTCTTTTCTCTTTTTTCTTCTTTTTTCTTTTTTCTTCTTTCTTTTTTTTTTTACATTTTAACTCCAATTCCTTCGGCAAATAATTTTCAAGGATACATCTTATATGTCATTTGTGTTACGTGATTGATTGTATATTTATAGAAAAAGTATAAGAATAATTGAAACATTGTTTGAGGGTGGGCATTGATAGACTGAAAGATTTGAAAATGTCATAACTCGTTCATTTTCATTTTTTTCATTATTTTCATATCTTCTGTAGATCATCCCTTGGAGATTAAAAAAAAAAAATAAAAAAAATGGCTAGTAACATGTATTTCTCGATCAATGATAAAAGATTAAAAGAGAAAAATATGTGCATTTTCGTAAAAGTTAATTTTGTATTTTAATATCAATCATACCGATGTTCGTAAAATATTTTTACTTTTCATTATTGTTACGTTTTCGATGTTACTACGAGAAAGAATGAAACAAAAAAAAAAAAAACGATAACAAAAATATCTCCTCATTCAGCGTACATCTACATATATAATATAATGATAACTATAATAAATCCATCGTTATTCAGATGCTGTTGCGTGTTATTTCGTGGAAAAACAAAAATAAAAAAAAAACAAAAACAAAAAAAAAGTAAATAAACGTCGACGTATGTACATACATATATTCTCTCTTACTCCGTGAATCGATATAATGATAAATTAATGCCTATACATATATATACATATATATTTATACCGCGTCACCTTCTCGTATAAATAATCACATCGCGTGAAAAATTAGAGGTCGTCGTAGTCGTCGTATGTCTTAGTCGTTCTCATACGTTCGTATAGCTAGTATCTCCGTAGTATCATTCTCGAAAAGACGTAGACATTGGACGTAGACGTAGAAGCGAAGCGAAGCGAAGTGAAGCGAAGTGAAGTGAAGTGAAGTGAAGTGATGCCAGATAGAGAGAGAGAGAGAGAGAGAGAGAGAGAGAGAACGAGAAGATCGGTAAGAGGAGTTGGAGGATAAGGGCCAGGAGGAAAGGGTCAGGAAATCGAAGGCAAGAAGGGTAGTCGAAAGGTTTCCTCTCGAGAACCACACGACGACAGACATCGTAGACGATAGGGGAGAACAGAAGTGGACGATAAAGTATAGACATCGATAAGAGAGTAAGTAAAAGAGTGAAAGAGAGAGAGAAAGAAAGAAAGAGAGAGAGAGAGAGAAACAGAGAGAGAGAGAGAGAGAAAAGGTCGTTGTAAGAATAAACGGGAAATATATTGGCCTCTTTTCTCTTTCTCTTTTTCTCTTTCGAGTTCGTTCACATCACTCCTTCGTGCGGTCCGAATCCCCTTACGTCACCAATTCGGTGCAATGGAAACCCGCATTTCCTCGACTATAAGCGCCCCGGTGGCCGGTAATCTGATCTGATCCGAAGAGGACCGAACGAGAGAACGTCGGTCCGACCGGTGAACAAAAGCTGGCCCGTAAGGGGCGAAGTAGGGCAGAACAAACCCGGATAGACCGACATTGTTACACCAGCCGTCGTCTTCTCTTTCCCTTTCTCTCTCTCTCTCTCTCTCTCTCTCTCTCTCTCTCGCTCTCTCTCTCTTTCTCTTTTTCTCTTTCTATTTTTCTTGCCTTCTCACTCGTTCTCACTTATTATCTCTCTTTCTCTCTTACTCCACTCGCTCTTTTATACGAATACCTCGACATCGTCATTGCCTCTCTCCGTCCGTTCTTCGACCTCCTGTCGTTGGAATTTCTTTGATCATTGACCCCGTTGTCCAGTAGTTTTTTCTCTCTCTCTCTCTCTCTCTCTCTCTCTCTCTCCCTCTTTCCTATTAGCCCACCCCCCACCCTTTTTTTCCTTCTCTCAGACGAGTGCCATTAACCAATTTCAACGAACGTTTCGTACTTTACAATCCTCCAGCTTCTTTTGATAGCCATCATAACTACAAATTAATGTCCGATATTTCCAAAGGAATTGTTTTCGAACATTGAGATTAGCAATTGAGAATTGTGTTATAGAGATGTAATTATTTTTTCCTTTCTTTCTTTTTTATTTTATTTTACTTTTTTTTTCTTTTTTTTTTTTTTTTTTAGTTATTTTTTTTTTCTTCTTTATTTCTCGAATTCTCCGCTCGCACGGATTATATTATCGCTTTATTAAGCGCGAATTGTAATGCTTAATTACATTATTATTTTATAATCGGTAAAATGATCAGCGGACGAGTAATTAAACGTTATTGGAAACGAATTTGTTTATATTATGAACAATTAATAATTACGATTGGAAAATAAATATCCGTAATGTATCACTGGTATATATATCAACAATCGTTTTAATTACTCGATATCTCTGACTTGTCCTTCGTTATTTCTTTATATATATATACATATATATATATATATATATATATATATATATAGTAATATATATATATATATATATTACTTGCTTTTTTTGTTTTTTGTTTTTTGTTTTTTTTTTTGTAATAAAACAGGCTTTAGTGACTCCACAAAGCAATGCTATATGGTGGTGAGGGGATGGTTGAGAAGGGGGGAAGAATTAATCAAGACCCAATCAACGATCAAAGAGATTAGAGAATAAGGCTCGTAGATTAAATTAACTATCTGTTTGTGATGGTATATGTAGTACATAGATAGGAGTTTCTCATTGTCATTGAAACAATGAATGGAATTCGCTTGCCACTAATATTAACAAATCCTTATTCGTATTTGCATTACGTAATTACGTAAATCTAGAAAACCATTTGATCTTTGAATTAATTAATTTTTATTAATTAATAATTTCATTGATACGACCTATCTATAACGATCTATGAATTAGCCTCTAGCTTGTCAAATTGACTGAAACGATACATGAAAGAAAAAAAATATGTATAGAAATCTGATGGAATGATATATAAATTGCTTTTTAATATTTCTATTTGTAAAATATATTTTCAAAAAAAAAAAAAAAAAAAAAAGAAAAAGAAAAAAAAACGTATTGTAAAATATATACAAATGCAGACGTGTTTACGATTTCATACAACGACACGTAAAGTTATTAAGATTGGAATAGTCTTAGATTAATCGTTATTATTGGTATTAATTATTTTTTTATTAGATGGTCAAAAATATTTTGTCATTCTGTGGTTATAAATAGTGAGGATTACGTCGAGTGTATTGACGATTAAATTTTTTTCAAATTCAAAAAGTGCAATTAATCGATTTGACTTGTTGTAAAACGACTCATATACATGTATACATACATACATACATACATACATACATACATACATACATACATATATTATATGTACAAATAAGTAAGAGAAATAAATTTTTGAAATAACAATACAGCGAAAGGATTGAAAGTAGAACAAAAAAAAAAAAGAAGAAAAGAAAAAAGAAAAAATAAAGGAAAACAAAACAGAGAAAAAATAATTCGTATACCTCTGGTTATAATCTACTTGATACTCGTTCATTATACAATAGTTTAAAGCGTGTTTAAATAGTATACGGAATGAGAGAAAGAGAAAAAGAGAAAAAGAGAAAAAGAGAGAGAGAGAGAGAGAAAGAAAGAGAAAGAGAGAAAAAGAGAGAGAGAGAGAGAGCAGTAGTTCTTTCACTTTGTTTCTTCAAGAGATACAAATGAGAAAGGAAGCTTTTACGTCTTTTATCTTTCGTCACTCTCGGTTTAGAGAGAAATGAAAAGAGAAAGAGAAACTAAGGCCAAATCTGCCGTTTCGTCTCGTTGCTTATTTTTCTTCGTCTTTTTCTTCTTCTTCTTCTTCTTCTTCTTCTTCTTCTTCTTCTTCTTGTATTTCTTCTACTTTCTTTGACGCGTTCCACCCAAGCCAAAAATGAAACTGTACCTACGAGCTTGTGCTAAAAGGCGAATTCAACAAAATGATTTACTTAACCTCGTTTTCACGTTAAAAGGATAAACAAAAAAGTTGCTGGCTATTATTACGAAATTCTCGAATAGTATAAATAGTATATGATGGTTTATCAAGCAATCGTCTTGTTTTTTGTATTTTTTTTTTTCTTTCCTTTTCTCCCCTCCCACCGCCCACCCTCCACATCCTACTCCGTCCACGCTCCCAATGAATTATGCAACAAGAACAGTTAACTCTTTTTTATCTTTTTATTTATTTTTTTTTTTCCATTCTTTTTCTCCTATTTTTCTTCCTCTCTTCTTCTTCCTTTTTCTTTTTTTTCTTTTTTTTTTTTCTTTTTTTTTCTCTAAATTCCACAAACAAAAACAAACCAGTTATGCGCAATCGATTATCGGTATTGTGCACGCACGTTGTTATCGCACTTTCGTTTAATAAAATTGCAATCGTATATCAATTCATTTTTCATCCTTCCCTATCCCTCCCCGGTCCCCCACCCTCCACTACTATTAAAATACACTATACTATAAGAGTTAAAGAGCAAATGTATTATTCGTTGATCGGCTTTAAATTAAATCAGATTATTATTTGAAGAAGGATTCGAACTGTTTTATTGATCGTACGTACGACATTTTAATTTAAAAAAAAAAAAAAAAAAAAAAAAAAAAACTATTCTTACGTATAAAATAACGTTACATATACTGGTTTTTATTTTTCTTTTTTTTTTTTTTTCTTGCAACAACTTTTTTATCTCCCTCCCTTCCTCTCTCTCTCTCTCTCTCTCTCTCTCTCATTCTCTCTGTCTGTCTATCTGTCTGTCTGTGTCTTTCTGAACAAGGTAAATGCATATCATACTATTAAAGAGCTCGCTCGGTTAGCCTTTTGATAAATTTTTTAATGTCTCTTTTCTTTCATGACTAATGGATGTTTATTATTTCATTATGAGAAGTTCTATGAGTACCGAGAAGACTAATCGTATTACCGACGACGAA